GGAAGAATCGGAAACCAACAGGAAATGTTTACAGTGAGCCTACTCAAATTAAGTAGATCTATCACATTTTGAAGTCGGCACACTAGACTTGGGCATAAGAGAGTCATAGACTTGGCATTATTGTTAATTGTGCGAGAGATGCGGCACACGCTATAAATAGTTGGCAATGGGGCAACGTAAGATTTACTCATGTTATTATGGGAAAATTCAACTACCAATTCCTTTTTCACCTTATACGAATTAGAGTGAATACATTTTATATATAAATGATCTACTGGTACTCTCGAAAACCTACTTATTAACAAAAAATATTAGTAGACTAATTTGATCATACACATGATCCATGAGATTACATATTGGCCATTAGTTTTACCCGTTGCACATGCAGCATCAAGTTATTTTTCTTCGCCATTTGAGAATCCGGCCTTGGGGGGCTTGCTCAGTGAGGTGTGAGTATACGTGCTATCAAAGGTTTGCTGCAGAATTGAGAACATAACGACCTGAGTGGCACGGATCTGGTCGCGGCGATCGAGTGAAATCACTGAAGCAGTCAGAAAAGAGATAGATCCTAAAGAGCAAGAGGCAAACTGTAATAGGACCTGGAGGATGGGGATTGCGCACTAAACGATAGTATTGGATTAGCATTCCCAACACAGGGGTTGTGAGAGGTAACCAGCGGTGTGTGAATAGGTCCCACCAGATCAGTTCAAAATGGCACACTTCAACTATGCTTAGATAAGCAAGTAAAAATTGTGATAGTGAAGGTGTGATACGAGGATATAGAATAGGTGAATACATCAGAACAGGAGATACCACAACTGTTTAGCAGAAAATTAGTCAAAGGATTGACTTCAGCTATTTATTTGACGAGGTGTAATATGGTGTAGGAGTGGCAAGGCTCACTGACGATGCTTGCGAATCGTCTGGGAATGTAGTAAGTCTAAGGTCCGACTCTTGAAATTATCATGCATACTATGGACTCGGCACAAGTTGCGTTCATCTAGGTTTTCCTGACAAAACGACCAAGTTGCGACAACAGGGTCAAACAACTTCTACACAACGAAAGGAGACCGCTACCATATTAAAGGCCACACTATATTGGTCTTCATACCTACGACTAAACGAAATAGATAAAAAGATTAGAGAACTAATATTTGAAAAAAGCAAAGTAGAAATACTCTGTTCAGAGAAAAAGAGATGGAAAATTTGAGGGAACTCGAATTAGGCTTCGTGCCAGAAGTGAAAATAGGGCCCTGGGAAATGAATGGGAAAACTAATGATTACTAATGCTTTGTGCAGAGATCCACTTACTAGAGGGCTGGGGGCGTCGATTCATGTGCTCCACCTGCTGAGACTCCTGTACAGACATTCTGTCCAGATCTGCGTTGAACTGGGGCACGTCGCGCACCCTTCCAACCCTGGACAGTTCGAACCCCATCTGCCACAGATACAGATTCATCTCTAGAGTCTTCAGGCGAAGCAGATCCTGCAGACGGTGAAGCCGGTGATGTAGGAGATATTGATCCCGATGTGGCTGAATCAGAAGAGTATATACAGTCCGAAACACCAGGATAGTCGGGTTTGGTTAAGCGCCTGCAGATAGACATTTCCTCAGCCCTTGAAAAGGGACCCTCGGGAATCTCTCCTCTTCCCTCTGCCGTATAAGGTGGGGCTTCCCCTGCACCGGGCCTACCAGGGCCGACGACCGTAGATACAGGTCTACGGCCGTGGTTAGATGTCCCGCTTCCTCGATGGATTGAGCCCCGGCGTCCAGCTCCAGAGTTGGTCGTTGATAACGGAGCACCAGGCTCGGCAAGTGAAACCATTTGTCGAGGGGGAGGCGCCTCCTGAGCCAAACGCTCAGCGTCGACAAGACCGCCCAAGCCACGTGGAGCTCGGAGCCAAAGAAAGAAGAGCTTGGACAATTCAGCAATCTCGTCCGAATCTAAAAAATATAAGAGGATGAACAAATGAGCGAAGTTGTTAAGTTTGTGGCAATTTGTTGAGGGGTAGTCAAGTATCTTGGCCCAATAAGGCCCTCCAAGTTTTCAGTTAGCTACCGATATATGAACTTCCATTGTAGGTAACGATCTATGAGGAAGTAATAGCTAGGAAGTATGCTTAACCATACTGTTACTTAGACATAATAGCAGCAAAAATCTCATTCATGCTTTAACTTCCAGGGATATTATTTAATAAGAACTAATGAAATATCATAAT